CGTGTGGCAGCATGTGTCTATGTCTGTATGTGTGCATGTGTGTGTCAGTGTGTGTCTATGTCTGTATGTGTGCAAGTGTGTGCCAGTGTGTGTCTGTCTGTATGTGTGCAGGTGTGTGTCAGTGTGTGTCTATGTCTGAATGTGTGCAGATGCGTGTGGCGGTGTGTGTCTATGTATGTGTGCAGATGCGTATGCCGGTGTGTGTCTATGTCTGTATGTGTGCAGGTGTGTGTCAGTGTGTGTCTATGTCTGTATGTGTGCAGGTGTGTGTCAGTGTGTGTCTATGTATGTGTGCGGGTGTGTGTCAGTGTGTGTCTATGTATGTATGTGTGCAGGTGTGCATGTCAGTGTATAAGTGTCTATGTATGTGTGCAGGTGTGCATGTCAGTGTGTGTCTATGTCTGAATGTGTGCAGATGCGTGTGGCAGTGTGTGTCTATGTATGTGTGCAGGTGTATGTCAGTGTGTGTCTGTCTGTATGTGTGCAAGTGTGTGTCAGTGTGTGTCTTTGTATGTGTGCAGGTGTGTGTCAGTGTGTGTCTATGTCTGTATGTATGCAGGTGTGCATGTCAGTGTGTGTCTATGTCTGTATGTGTGCAAGTGTGTGTCAGTGTGTGTCTATGTCTGTATGTGTGCAGGTGTGCATGTCAGTGTGTAAGTGTCTATGCCTGTATGTGTGCAGGTGTATGTCAGTGTGTGTCTATGTCTGTATGTGTGCAAGTGTGTGTCAGTGTATGTCTATGTCTGTATGTGTGCAGGTGTGTGTCAGTGTGTGTCTGTATGTGTGCAGGTGTGTGTGTCAGTGTGTGTCTGTGTCTGTATGTGTGCAGGTGTGTGCCAGTGTGTGTCTGTGTCTGTATGTGTGCAGGTGTGCATGTCAGTGTATGTCTATGTCTGTATGTGTGCAGGTGTGTGTCAGTGTGTGTCTCTATTTGTGCAGGTGTGTGTGTCAGTGTGTGTCTGTGTCTGTATGTGTGCAAGTATGCATGTCAGTGTGTGTCTATGTCTGTATGTGTGCAGGTGTGTGTGTCAGTATGTGTGTATGTCTGTGTGCAGGTCAGTGTGTAAGTACACATGCTTGTATGTGTGTACTTCTGTCTGTGTTTAAGGATGTATGCATTTGTGTGTAGGCGCACATGTCTGTGCCTATCTGTATGTATGTGTGTGTAAAGTCTGTATGTCTTTGTGTGTGCACCACATGCCCATATGTATGGGTTGGAAAGAAAACCTGACTTGACTTGATTTCCCACTCTGCTGTCTTTGTGGCTATGTTTATTACAGTTTTCCCGATACCTCTAGCGTGTTTATTAATGTGAATGATCACATGAACAGGGTTCGCCGTGGGATGAGCCGTGCTTTCTGGGCATTTTGCTTTTCCCGGTGAGTGAGCACATGAACAAGGAGCGGTCAGCACTGATGTGGGTGCCCCGGCCTTTGCACGCTCTTGGTGCATCCTTGGCTCCTCAGATAGTTTTCTCTTTTGGAAAACTGCACAATTTGCCTTGAAGTGCCACATTATGTAGATTTCAGCCACCAAATATTCTATTTGAAGACAGAAAGGAAGTGAAAATCATTTTCTAGACCTCACAGCCATTACTCTGTGCGAGACTGCAAATTCCATTTCGTGAAACTGTGGGGTAGACACTCTTCTTCTTTTGCTAATGATCCTGAGTACTGTGAATTTCATTAGGAATAATTGTGCTTGTGGTGTTTACTGATCTGGAATACTTTTTAATGTCTCTATCTAATCGCCCTAGTAGGGTTATGTCACAGCCTTCCCATCGAGCAGTGCCAGAGTGGTTTTTGGTAGTTAATTTTATATTAAAATTATAATGAAAAGACAGATCACAATTGCTTGCATTTATAGGGAAAGAACATTCTAGAGTGGGAAAGTTGTCTTTGATCTTCCTATGAATTAAACATTTATCTCAATCTTCATCCTAAGTCTACAGCGATTCTGCACCTCCAGGTGTCATCGGTGGGAGCCTCTGAATTCACAAAACCATTCACACCGTGCCAGGCGGCCGTGCGGGTGCTCCCTCGGTCCCAGCCGGCCCGGGGCCCTGAGCACCGTGTCTTCTGGATGTGGTAGAGCAGAGGTGAGGCAGGGTCCCAGCCAGCCTGGGGCCCTGAGCACCGTGTCTTCTGGATGTGGTAGAGCAGAGGTGAGGCAGGTAATGCAGGTCTCATGCCCCCCCCTGCCCTGCAGGCAAGGTGGGGCCAGCCTGTCCAGCCTCCAGCGGGCCTTCCCCATTCCAGGCTGTCTGACTGCCCCGTCCAGCTTTGGGCCCTGCAGGGCGAAGGCCACAGTTCCCTCAAGACGCTCTTGGCTTTGTCTGAGCCCTAATTTCTTGCTTTCCGTTCTTCCAGCTGCTTAAGAGTCTCCTCAGAGAAACCGTGCAGCTACGCAGGTAGCAATTATTAAACCAAGGGAGGGTGATCGAGGGTTCTGTGGCCTGCCAACCAGAGTCAGGTTGAACGGGAATCCCTGTCCCTGGCCGGGACTGTCAGTAGGACATGGCATGTAGGAAAGGCGTCCTCAGGCATGCAGGTGGCTGGAACGCGGCCACAGCGGCTCTATCCTGAGAAACGCATCGCGCTCTGTAGGCCTCAGCGCCTGTGGTGCGTCCAGTCTGTGGAGCTTCCCTGTCCCGCCGCTTCCTTCCCCCAGGCCACAGCGCCAACAAAGCCGACCCCGCCTCTGGCCGGCATGCGGAGGCTCACAGCTCACGCCCTCCCCCAGAGAGGGTCCAAGGAAGGACGAAGGATGCTTTCCCTTCCTCCCCTGCACAGCTGCCAACGCGTGTGTGCACACGTGTGTGCTCGTGTGTGCACACATGTATGATGTGTCTCTCTGTGTGTTGTTACTGAGTGATGTAACATTTAGATAGATAGATGGACAGACGGGTGGACAGACAGATGGACATAATGTGAGAATAAATGTCACATGTGTTAGACATTTGGGTCACTGCAGGGTAAATGCGTACGGAAGCCTTTAGCATTTTCTCCTTGAAATGGTTCCATAGAAGAGGTCTTAATAAGAGGAGAATGAGGCTAAGATGAAGGCTGATTTTCTGGGACACGATTGAATTGTCCTCATGTCGGCTGTGGCCGATTGCGTCGCGGTGAAGGCCGGCACGTGACCCGCTCTCCCGTCTGCTGTTCCTGAAGGGGGACGGCACCGGGCCACCCGCCCGTTCAGTACGAACACACAGCGTCATGTCTCTCAGGGGTCAGCACCTCGGCCAGTCCCGGGATCTGCCGCCACTGCCTTTCCACGGGGCTCGCGTTGTCCTGATGGTCATATTACGCAGACGCTTTGACTGATACGCACACAGCTCCCGCGTGGAGCCGCTTGCTTCTCCAGTCTGGCCTCAGCTCCCGGGACTCCACAGGCTGCCTCAGTCATCCCATTTCCCCAGCCCCTGCGCCGTCCACGCTGTGCTGCTCTCCTGCTGTTTTCCTCGTGTCCCTCTCCCGCCCCTCCCGCAGCCCTGGCCTCTAGCTGCTGCTCAACCCCCCCCCCACACCGCTTCTCTTTCCGAGGCCTGTGGGGGGTCTCCTGGCTCGCTCTTCCTCACTGGGCCACAGGACCCCAGCCCTGGGGGGGTCTCACCCTCTGGCTCCCAGCAGCCCTCCGTGAGAGGAATGTGGAGCAGCGTGTGGCTCCGGCTGCGTCTCGGTCCTTTCTGGGAGCAAAAGTGCTCAGAGAGGAGGCCACACGGAGAGGAGGCCACACGGGGGGGAGAGGCCACATGGAGAGGAGGCCACACGGGGGGGAGGCCACACGGAGAGGAGGCCACACAGAGAGGAGGCCACACAGAGAGGAGGCCACACAGAGAGGAGGCCACACAGGGGGAGGCCACACGGGGGAGGAGGCCACATGGAGAGGCTATGTGGAGTGGGTGTCACACGGGGGGAGGCCACACGGGAGGAGGCCACACAGGGGGAGTCCACATGGGGGGAGGCCACACGGGAGGAGGCCACACGGGAGGAGGCCACACGGGGGGAGGTCATATGGAGGGACTATGTGGAGTGGGTGTCACGTGGGGAGGAGGCCATGGGGGAGGAAGGGCCTGTTCAGGGCTCCGGTAGCTGTGTCACTGCCAGGACAGAGGTCACACTCCATTTCCAGGTTGACTTGTCTCTAATCACACGCGGGTCAGGCGCAGTCACCAGACCCACCCCGTCCCCAGCATTCTTTTTCTCAAGGCTGCCTCTTGACCACGTAAGCCACAGCTCCGCTGCCAGCTTCTTCTGAGAGGTTTGTTGGAGATCAGAGTCCCACGGACTTTCCTGCCTGGATTGGCTTTGACCTGGGATCCTCAGACCTCAGGCTCTGAGTGCCTGGATCACAGGCAGGAGCCACCACTGCCTGGCTGCACATTTCTTCCTTAAATCAGAAAGGGCGCCTCGGGCAGGGCTCACCAGAACCTCCCGGGCCTTTTATTAGTCCTATTACTTTGAAATTAAACCGTGTTATATTCTTTCCCTCCCCAGGTGAACTCTGCCAAGCATGGGATGCAGCCCGCGTGTCTTAGGAGGCAGGCGGTCCAGCTTAGAGCTGCCGCAGCTGCTGACTTTCCCAGGTCCCGGGTTCTGTTCTAGGTGGCGTCTGACCACGCGGGGCTCTGAGCATTTCCCTGCTGTTTGCCTTTGGAACGCACCCACAGCAGCAATGGCCCCGCCGCATTCCAAGCCAGAGCTTGACATTGCCTTTGTCATTTCAGCCTACGAGCTGCAGAACTGCCCGGACCCACCCCCGTTCCAGAACGGGTACATGATCAACTCAGACTTCAGCGTGGGGCAGGCCATCTCCTTCGAGTGTTACCCGGGGTACGTGCTGCTGGGCCAGCCCGTGCTCACCTGCAGACACGGCCCCGACCGGAGCTGGAACTTCCCCTTCCCGCGCTGTGATGGTAGGCTGCCGGGTGCTTCTGCTGTGGGGTTGGGGGGCTGAGGGGGGTAGGAGGAGGAGGAGGAGGGGTCGGGTGGCGCCGCCTCTGCTCCATGTCTGGGCGCACTGGACATGAAGCGAGCGTGCCCAGACGAGCATCTCCGGTGGTGCACACACTCACTCTGCTTGGTGTTGCAGGAGCATTTCCCCTACTGCAAAGCAGCAAAGCAGCTTTGCGCTCCGGCAGGTTATAGCGGTAGCGAGGAAAGCAACACCAGTAACAGGGAGGCAGCTAGAGCCCACGGGTCTGGGAGAAGCCAGCACCCCATCCCCCGGGCTGTGGCCATGTGTGAGGCCGGAGGGGATGGGGGCTTGTGGATGATAGGCTGGGAACTGGAGACATACAGATGTGTAGTATATGTATGTATATGCTAGAGATGTAAATTCTGTTAGGTATCTTACATGCATGTAAGTTTTTAAACTGGTCTGTAAGTATCATTGCTGTCACTGGGAGCAGGGAGCCGCGGCCCCGGGGGGAGGGGGGGTTGGTCTCAGCCAGCTGCCGGGCGGGCACGCCTGCTGGGGGCCAGGTGGCCTCCTCGTGGTGACACAGAGGGTCTCAGCCAGGGAAGGCCTGCATGGGGAGCCTGCTGAGCAAGCTCTAATGGCCGGTCCAGGCGAGCAGGAGGGTGGGAGAAGTGGCGTTTTCCTCGTGGAGGGACGGGGCCTTGCTGTCTGCAGAGGGGCGGTGCGGTGGCGGGCATGGACCTGTGGCTGAGGACGGCGAGGGCGCGAGGGCTCCGTGGGTTCTAGCCCTGCTAGAACTGCACGGCCGGGTGCAGAACGCACGCCCGGCAGGTTAGAAACCCAGGTGTGTCGGACTTCAAGCCCCACTTACTTCTGCTCAGACGAAGCTGTCCTGTCGTGTGCCGGGGCTGCCTTGGGTGTGTCTGCACGGCCCGGCCCCCACGGCTCTCCAGAGAGCCCACCCGCATGGACACTGTCAGGTCCTGGCTTCCCTCCGCTTCCTGATCATCCTTAGCATTTCGCATCATTAAAATTGTCTCCTTGTGTATCTTTTGATATGCTCTGGCCTCTTCCTTCCCCTAAGCTCAAGGCCCTTTGTGGCAAGTCTTTGATGGTTGTGGGGGATGGAGCTGGTGATCAAGCCTCACCCCGTATCTGAGGCCGTGGTGGGATTTCAGTTTGACAAGTGGCCTGGGTACATGAACGGTGGCATGTCAGTGCACTCCGCCCACACCGGGCCACCCCACCCTTCCACACGTAAGATGATCACCACAGCAACCAAAAGGTCAATTAGTTAAACCCAGAATGAAGACAGACCGGGGGCCCGGGCTACACCAGTAGATAGGGAGTACTTGTGTTGAAACGCTACTTATGTACGTTCATCTTGCTGCTTCAAGTGTAGATTCGCACTGAGTTGATAGTGTCAGTGTTTCTGCCGGGCTGAGATGCACGTCTTTCGCACACCTTCAATAGGCTTTAGGAAAGTGACTTAAAACAAAAAATTCAGTTATATATTTATGTGTAATGTGCATGTCATCCTTTGCCTGGCAATGGGTTAATTATCAGCGCAGTCACAGATGGCGGCTGACTGTGGATTTTTTTTATCATGTAGGAATGCTATCCTCAGGGATTTTGAAGATTTGGAGTCTATGTGAAGTGAGACGGAGCTATCTTAGCTTAGAAGTATAATTCTCCTGAACTTTGCAGGCTTGAGGGGAAGAACTTTGGCTAAGTAGTTGCTGAGAACTGAGTCACAATTATTTTGTACCAGGGAGCATGGAGGCTAAGCCCTTTCTGAAATAGTCACCTACTTTCTAAAGCGCACGGCTGGCTGCTTTCTCCCCAGCGCCCTGCGGGTACAACGTGACCGCCCACAACGGCACCATTTACTCCCCCGGCTTCCCGGACGAGTACCCCGTCCTGAAGGACTGCCTGTGGCTCATCACCGTGTCCCCGGGCCACGGCGTCTACATCAACTTCACCTTGCTGCAGACGGAGGCCGTGAACGACTACATCGCCGTCTGGTACGGGGCAGCCACGCTGCCTGCGGTGACTCTGACTTAGTGCTTACACACGTATCTCGTTTAGTGCTTGCATGTCTCCTACAGATCAGATTACATCCTCCCAGGCAACAAAATCAGAGACACAGGGACAAATTTCAAGCTACACATTCGGTTTTGCTGCATTGTAGAATAACCAAATATTTGGCGTTGTCGGGGATTGAACGCAGGACCTTTTGCTCACCAGCAGATATTTGGCATTGTTGAGGTTTGAACGTGGGGCCTTGTGCTCACTGGGCCGGGACCCTTCCACTTGGTCCTTTCCCCCTGGGGTATTTCGGGACAGAGTTGTGAATCTTCTTCTGGACTGGCCTAGAGCAGATGTCCTCCCGGCCTCTGCCTGGAGCACAGCACTCAGCACCGTAGCAATTGACTTTAAAACATAAGAGCAGCCCAGCATTGTTTTCTTTTGAATCGATGAGTGAAGTAATAGTGAACTTTTGAGAGTGAGATTTCCCCGCGAGCACACCGTGCTGTTGTGCAGTTGCCTTGGATGGCTTCTTGCCTGTCCCCTCCTCTGTGACCCCTGCAGGGCCCGGCCTGCTCTCCTGGAGCCTGGCTGCAGAACCCAGGTGGGCACGAGGGCGGAGCTCCGGCCAGCACCCGGGAAGGACGCCTCTTCCCAGCCTCTGCCCCAGCCTCTGCCCCAGCCTCTGCCCAGCCTCTGCCCCGGCCTCTGCCTAGCCTCTGCCCCGGACTCTGCCCAGCCTCTGCCCAGCCTCTGCCCCGGCCTCTGCCCCGGCCTCTGCCCAGCCTCTGACCCGGCCTCTGCCCCGGCCTCTGCCCAGCCTCTGCCCAGCCTCTGCCCCGGCCTCTGCCCCAGCCTCTGCCCAGCCCCTGCCCCGGCCTCTGCCTAGCCTCTGCCCCGGCCTCTGCCCAGCCTCTGCCTAGCCTCTGCCCCGGCCTCTGCCCCAGCCTCTGCCCAGCCTCTGCCCCGGCCTCTGCCTAGCCTCTGCCCCAGCCTCTGCCTAGCCTCTGCCCCGGCCTCTGCCAAGCCTCTGCCCAGCCTCTGCCCCGGCCTCTGCCCCAGCCTCTGCCCAGCCTCTGCCCCGGCCTCTGCCCCAGCCTCTGCCCAGCCTCTGCCCCCGCCTCTGCCCCAGCCTCTGCCCAGCCTCTGCCCCCGCCTCTGTCCCAGCCTCTGTCCCAGCATCTGCCCTGGCCTCTGCCCCAGCCTCTGCCCAGCCTCTGCCCAGCCTCTGCCCCCGCCTCTGCCCCGGCCTCTGCCCCGGCCTCTGTCCCGGCCTCTGCCTCGGCCTCTGCCCCGGCCTCTGCCCCGGCCTCTGCCCCAGCCTCTGCCCAGCCTCTGCCCAGCCTCTGCCCCGGCCTCTGTCCTGGCCTCTGCCTCGGCCTCTGCCCAGCCTCTGCCCCAGCCTCTGCCCAGCCTCTGCCCCGGCCTCTGCCCCGGCCTCTGCCCAGCCTCTGCCCCAGCCTCTGTCCCGGCCTCTGCCTCGGCCTCTGCCCCGGCCTCTGCCCAGCCTCTGCCTCGGCCTCTGCCCCGGCCTCTGCCCAGCCTCTGCCCCAGCCTCTGCCCAGCCTCTG